TCTTTTTTGTTAATTCCCTCAACAAGTTCTCTTCCTGTATTAAATAGTCCATTTCTGATCGTCTTTCGCTCGTGCATGCACTCATCACGCCAGTATCGAAAGAACTCAGTCTTTGAAGATCTTTGATTTTAAACATGCGGGCAACCTCGCAGTCAGAAGCATTTTCAAATATTCCCTAATGATTTTTACTCTGCTGTAAATTTTGAGGGATCCAATCTGGTCCAAATACAGTCGTACACGAAGAACGAACGTCTGCACTTCTTCTGATTTGCGTTCATTAAATTCAGCGGTCTGTGGAATTGTGAACATAACTGGAGTCTTCTCAGGCTTAGCTTCAAATCAGCCTTGACGCTGTGTCGTTTAGCTTTTAAGCACTGTAATGTAGTCCTTTTAAAACTGTGGTGAGCTGCGAAATAACCTTGACAAGCCTTAGGCGATTTAAATGGAACCCGTTTATTTTCAGATTTTGATTTTTTTCCTGCGAGTGGCTTGAAAATCTCTTTTAATGCTGCTTGAATACCTTCGATGATATTTCATAGCCCCACTTGAAACTGACTGACTCTAATACCTTATATGATTTTTAATTTGTTGATATGTCATAAAGCTGTTTATTTGCGTTCTCTTCGATTAGTTTGACGAGTCGTATGTTTTTTCGACATTTTTCTGCTGTTCAGACAATCACATATGATTATTATGAAGATTCGGATTGATTGACTGATTGATTGATTGTTGAAATTTACTCGAGGTCAGCGAATCTCTGGCATGAGGAAAACTTATACTGATTGCGTGTCTGGATCACATGACGCAGTACCTGCGACAATCAAACAGTTTCTTTCTTCCTGGCCTCATCCAGCTTCTCATTGCTGTGGGAGAGCCACAAGCGCAAATCAGCACTCTTCTAGTTTTTCTCCTCTTGAGTGTTTCTTGGCGAGTGGTTGTAAAGCAGTCAGTTCATGGTTTCAGCCTTTATGAACTGTGGCCGGGGAACACTTTGTGAAGTTTTAGTCACGGACGAATATCGCTGATGATTTGCCAGTGACCACTGTCTCAGACTACCAGAGTTGACCACTGTGCTTCTTCCAAGCCTTAACTTCAGCAGGAACATAAAAAACTATTTGCAACAAATAAACTGTAAAGTTGCTCTCCGTAACTCAATTCCAGCAACGTCGCCGAGGGAAGAGGACGACGTCCTGCTCTCTGGCAGTAATTAAAGGACGTATACGATTAAGAAGCTTCAGCGTGGGAAAACTTTGTCAAGAACCTCAAAACGGTCGCGTAACTGGGATCGCCAAAGTACTTTGTGTTTTTAGCGTACACACACCTCAGAAGAGGAAATTTTGCCTCCAAACCACAGAAATGACGAAGACTGAAGCCATCGTTCGTGCTAATCCATGAACAACAAGAGATATTTTACCCTTTATCGCTTGAACCGAGAAAAAAATTCACAAATCAAATACAGAGGCGGTCTGCTCAAGGAACATCCTTCATAGTGTCAATTATGATGGCATAAAAACTAGGCCTAAATGATGTTGCTTAAAATTCTGCATCACGTTTTTGCTCTTCTGAAAGAAGAACGCGCATTTGTGATTTCTCATGATGTACAGACAAACGTTTTAAGCTATAACACAGGGCCTCAAACTTAATTTTCCAATCCAATTAACGGAGGAAGGAGTTACTCAAATACATAAAGTCATGACACTCCAGAATTGCGTTGTGTGCATTAGTATTATACGATACCGCGGATGTAAAAGTCTGTCATAAATTTAGTGATTGCTGAAAAAAAAATCATGTGCCTTTATATTTTTATTCCATGTGCATTTTTAGACTTTTACACTCATTATTCATAATCTGTGAAAATTAAGGTCGAACGAATAGTCTTGAAAAAATCAATGGGCATAGCATTTGAAATTGAAGACAAATTGACTTTCAGAATACAAATCAGGCATGACATTGCTGACGCTACAAGTAAATATAAATAATAGTTATAAACACCACTTTCAGTATATATGAGAATTGCCTCATTATTCAGTTAGTAAAAGTTATTAAATTAACGACTCTACATTACCGAAAATTTTAAATGACTGAAACATGCGCCAGTCGATCTAGTTCAGTGCACGATTAAACATTCAGTGATGCAGGGCAATCTCCGCAGGAAATATTTCTCATATCGTTCACTAACGAATGAAAAACACATTGAATATCTGGGATTAAAATATGCAATTCACTCAGCAATACCATCACCATACAAAGGCGTGTGCGTTAGATATTACACTGGACCTTAGCCATGATAGATAGTTATGACTTAATTCATGCATAAATTAAATGGATCCCAAGAATTAGACTCGCTTCAGAGGTTGTTACATGATTCGCATGTCGTATTGCCAGTGAAGAGGCTTACGAAACAGGCATAATTCTCGACCGCATGGAAGTCGAGAGAAATAGGTTGATCTTGATCAATACTGCATTAAGAAATTGAGTACTTGGTCTGTTCCTTATTTGAATCTGGGTCACAGGGCTGAACTGATTGACAGAAAATCTGGTGTCGATGGGCAAAACCTTTGCACCTGCAGTTAAAGAAAAGAAAGGAGATACGGGCTTCGAGAATGAATGACCGATTGAATGGAAGAGCGATTGAATGAATGGCTGGAAGAACGAGCGAAAGAGAAAAGATATAGCGAAAGATTACCTGAATGAAACAAATCAATAAATAAAGGTATGAATGAATGAACCAACGAATGAATGCATGGGTGAATAAATAAATGAATGAGCGGATGAGCAAACAATGGAATGAGTAAGGGAGTTACGGAGTGGAAGAATGAGCAAATCACTGAATTCATTGAGCGTTCACTCAATTAGATCTGATCTTAAAAGAGTTTTTCCATTTAAAATGATCCCTTAATTCTTGCTCATTGCCGTAGGGGTATGGTCTTCCTTACCACCGTAGACGTCGCAAAAACAGATATGTTTACAGTGATTTAATTTTCATATTCATAGCTCCGTGTCACCGATTGGAATGCCTGTCTCATGGTAATCTGCCTATGCAGTTGTCTTCAGTGAGTAGTGGAGTATCTAAAAGTCTGTTTTCAAATGTTTGAAAAGAATGTTTTTCAAAAAACAAGAAGATTTGTTTTTTGAATGTTTATTTGTTTTTACTAATAAACTTATTAGTAGGCAGTGGACAGTTTATTTTCTTGAGAATTCGAGCTTTGAATATTTCCATTCACATGAAAGAATGGCTTTATTTTGTTCTGTAGAAGCTGATCCAAAGCGATGCATAGAGCGCAGCGCAGCATATGTAAAATTATTATGACTAATATGAAAGAGCGGTATTGTTTTACACTGGTCGACACAAATACATCTGAGATAACTGGGAAAACTCAGCTTTTTTGCTGTAGCATCTCGATTCAATTTTTGCTCGGTTATGATGATGTATCTACATCAATTGTATATCACACTGTAGTGTACCTTAAAATGCATTCGAATTTACTTTTTAAAGAAAGTGAAAGCTCTCTCTTCTACCTTTTTGAGTGTTGTTTGAGTAAGCATGGGTAGATAGAATTTATTTGAGTTCAGGATTTCATACTTTGCAGAAAACTACTCCTATCATTAAAAAAACATACGCCAATGAAATTGGGCTGAAAGACTACAATAAGGGGATGTGAACCTCAACAGTGAAGATGCACCGGATGTCATTCGTGCTGCGATGATTTTCGTTTGACGCCTATCCAAGAAAATTGGTGCGAAGTATGGCTGAATAGTTGGCTAAAGCCGTTGCTGCTGCTCAACTGATCGGGTATTATGCAAGCTTGAAATGGAGTTTGAAAGAAAAACAACGAACTCTTTGACTAGCGATCTGCTTTCGACTGATCACCAGAAACAAGGAGAATATTTTTGTCGACTGATCTGTTACATGTGATAAAAAATAGTATCAACCGCAAGTGATTTGTAGAGTGATTCTGTAAATATGGGAGGTAAAACCACATGGGAAGGCTTTGACTCCACTCAAAGGAACTTATGATCATTGTCTGGGTGCTCCAGTGCATATTATTGGCTGTAACTTCTTGAAACCTGCCATTATGGTCATGGTAAATTACCGTAAGGTTGCGTGACAGGATGTCGTTGACAGGAGTTGTTCAAAGCACACAAGGGATAGTGAATGCAGGAGGCCAAAACTCACTTAGTGATCATGACTATTTTATTGTTTCTCCAAATACTGTGCAATTACTGAATCGCCTGGGGCTTGAAGGCAGTACTCCACACCTTATTTTCTTAAACTTCCCTGCCATCCCCCCCTATATTGCAATTTTTCAATGTTTCGATGTTTTTCAACGCAGCAATGATTGAAACCAGTTTTAAGCATATTATGGACTAAAATAACCATTAATTTAGACTTTTTGAAAATGGTCTGAATGATCTTGTGACAGCTCAAGAAATGTGTTTATTGTAATGGAATGTACTTTCTTTAAAACCCACTGAGTGTTTGTAACAACTTAATACTTAAGTCAGTATCAGAGCGAGGCAACAGAAATATTTTCACAATCCGCGATGGCTAAGAACACCTGGGAGCAAATATGCGTTGCAGGATGTTGCTTTTAACATGAATGTCGATTACACGAATGATGGAAGCAGAACGAGCACAACTCATGACGTCGTTCCGCAGGTGGCCTTTAAGAAATTGAAACTTGCCAGCCTACTGCCTTTCGCTGTGATGAAATCAAACGCTGGCCTTGGCTTCAGCGGAAGCAGCTTTTGGCTCCATGTGACGCATGGAAACACAAGTCGATGGTTCCGTTCCTTGC